GCCCTCGAGCCTGAGGCGCCGCTGTGGCTCGACCTCCCAGTTGAGGAGGGTGGAGACGCCCATGCTCATCGCAGCCGGCTCTATTGGCGGCCTGGGCAACCCGGGCTTCATGACGCCCTACAACTCGCGCCCGAAGATGGCCACGCGCGGCGACGAGGGCCTCAAGCTGTCGCTGCAGCTCGAGCTAAAGATTCTGGCCGATCTGGGCCTTGTCGGCCTGCCCAACGCCGGCAAGAGCACGCTTTTGCGCGCCTTGAGCAACAGCCGCGCCCGCGTCGGCAACTGGGCCTTCACCACTCTCCAGCCCAATGTCGGCACCGTTGTGCTTGACAACCACAAGGGCCGCCCGCTAGTCACCTCGCGGAGACGCAACGGCGAGCTGCGCGACAACTTCACCGTCGCAGACGTGCCGGGCCTGATCGAAGACGCACATCTTGACAAAGGGCTCGGCCTAGGCTTCCTGCGCCACATCGAACGCGCTGCCGTCCTCGCTTTCGTCATCGACCTCTCTGCAGGCGATGCCGTCCACGCACTGAAGCTGCTATGGCGGGAGGTGTCCGAGTACGAAACCATGCGAGGGAGGGAACTCAACGCCGAGACCGAGCGGAGGACAATGACATACCAGCCCGCATAACATGACCCAGCCGTCAAGTCCTGCATCTGGCCTCGTCGATTCACCAGTGCTGAACCCCTCCCCCGAGCCCTTGCCGTTCCTGTCGTCGACCCCCATCTCTTCAAAGCCATGGTTCGTTGTCGCGACCAAAGCGGACGTGCCAGATACACAGCTCAACTACGAGGCCCTGCAGCGCTACCTCGAACAAGTCAAGGGCCGCGCTCAGCCTCATCCGAGCAATCGTAAGCACGCATGGACGAGGAGTCCTCAAGCCGTTCCCGTGAGCGCCATCAACGCGGAAGGTGTGGAAGTCATCCCACAGTTGGTCATGGATCTTCTGGAAGAGTGAGATGCATACATGTTACAGAATTCTTCTTCTCTATTCCACAGGAAGATATATCCATCAAGTACAGCTCCGCGTTGCCGTTGACCTATAATTCAGCCAAGGCGGCAAAATGGACGCTGTGATAGTGAAACGTGGGAATTCGCGGACTTTGCGGACATGACGGCCAGCATCCATTTGGCATGCACCCAGTCACCATTTACTACCATGAGATCCAGCACTGCCTCTCCTCACGTCTTTCATCCTACACACGAGTTCTGCGCGTGCTCTACGCTACGCTGATTGCGAACCACAATGCGTTGTCCGCACCGTGATCGCTTGGTCAGGGTGCCCAACTCAAACTTGCATCTATGCCCGTGGGCCGATATCAATCCAGACTGGTGCTTGGACCAAGACCCCCAAGTCGTGTAATCGAGAAGCTATGAGAAACGTCCCATGGTGACGGCTTGTGCCGAATATGGCCAATGCCAGTAGTGAAGCTTTAGAATACAATCGAGTTCCTCAAATCATCGGATTTGTAAGGCCTCTTCCCCAAATTCATCCTGGTATTGATACACCATGGGTTCGTACGCATGATAGCTGCTCATTAAGCTGTCTCCAAGCTGGTATCCGGGCTTGCTAAAGTAGTTCATCATCCTACCCATGAATATGGGATTCTCCGCAGGGACATTGTCGTAGGCTGGCGAAAGATTGGCCTGGGAGACTGCGCTGTAATCTTTAGATGACCATTGAGATGTTGCCATTGTATCGATACGCAACGGTTTTCGCGCGGGCGATTGGACTTCTTCTGTTTGTATGCTGATGTCCTTGTAAGATAGGATGACCTTCTGTGACGGATTTGGCTCGTGGCATCCGCATTTACATGTTGAATTCTCGGTGCCCGCCCTCCCGACAGGAACGAGCATGTAGCCTTCTGGTACCTTAAACTCAGCGTCTGCTTTCGAGATAGATTTCAGAACTGCTTGCTGCTCAGCCGCAACCCCACGTCCTTCTGTTGGAGCCATTTCCTCGGAGATGGACTCAACAGGCAGTTCGAACAATCTTGAACTCCTCTTCGTCGACGTCGTGGAATGATCCGACGTTGTAGTCGTTGTTGCAAGCGCCTCCCATTGTGATGATGCGGATGACAGAGGAGCTCGTGACGGATGGAAGGTGGAAGGTGGGTCGAATAGTTCCGAGGACATAGATGCCGCCGAGCTCGTCCTTGAATACGAGAGGCTGGGTGGCCTTGACGCACGTCTGGACGAGGCAGCAGATGATCGCCGGCTCTCTGCACTCTCAGCAGGGACGCTGTCAGATCTGGTACTGATGTCTGACAACGGTCGCAAAAACGACACTGTCCTTGCTCTTCGTAACGCCGGTCTGTCGTTCTTTTCCTCCTCGTCAGCTTGTTTCTTAGCCTCTGGCTCTTTGAATTCCATTTTCCCATTCTTGTCCGAGGCAAAGTATTCTTCACCGCGCCCGAAGACGACTTGCAGGCTTGCAAAGTCTCGCGTCGTGCCGTCTGTGGGATATAGCCAGTCCTTCAGCGCCGGTGGTAAATCGTACCCATCTGTGGCAGATGAGCATTGGAATCAATGAGTCGTCGCTTTTGCTTTTACCTTGCTTGTATTCGCCAGCTTGTGTCTTCCAGCACACATAGTATCGCTCAAACGCGCCGAAGGCGCACACCAGCAGCTCTGCCAGACTATCCGGATCGTTGGGGTCCTCTGGGATTTCGCCTAGTCGAGTGTAGAGACGAGTCGATGCATCCATAGTATAATAAGAGACTTGTTGCCGTATGTGTTGCTCGAGTCAATTGATGTGGTACATGTATAGGAAGCGCAATGTCAATGTCGATGCGGTCGCCCAATATGCACGTTCGCAACATTATGCTTGCCGTTGCGCACGAAATCCATCGGCGCATTCCGGGTCGCGTGATGTTCTTGGAATGCAACTACTCACCAAACAGCACTGAAGCACAAGAGTTGGCAATGTCAGCTCATCGTGGACCGTGTTTCACATGTGCGGCCGTCAGGCAGCACCTGTCACAGAATTGCCGAAACATATCGTAAACAAAAACAGCATGAATGCTAGCTTTCAAAGTTGCTCAATGCGGATTTGACTCATTCAGAGTCGGGAGCACACTTTGAATTACATCATTTCACCATCAGCAACAAGTCTCTCTACTATGTATATTTCTTCGAGGTAAAGTATCACATGCAATACAAAGCGATATAGTATCTATATATTTGACTCACTTCCTTGCCTGTTTGATGATCATATCCGCAGCCTTTTCAGCAATTCCGTAGACAAGTGTCTGTAGATGTGCACTTGGAAGAAGAGGAATTACACTTGCATCCACAACCCTCAAGTTCTTGACGCCATAAACCTTCAGGTTGGGGTCCACCACACCACCGTCCTTCTCAGGCAACAGTGCAGCAGTGCCAATAGGATGGTAAATGCTCAAAGTGTTGGCCAAAGCATACTTTTTCCAGTCTTCGTCAGTCTGGACGGCGTTGCCGGGCTCATATTCCTCCGTCCAGATGTCGCTCATTGGCTTGGAAGAAGCTATCTTCCGGAGGTATTTCGCAAGACCTGCCGCGGCCTGCAGGTCATATGGATGCGAGAGGTAGTTGGGGTTGATGATAGGCTTTTCGCTAATGTTGCGTGACGCAATGTGCACGTTGCCTTTGCTCAGAGGATGCTGCACAACGCCGATCAGAGTAAAAGTGCCGATGCCAAAAAGCGGGGAGGTGGCTGCAGGGTAGCCCTTGAGACCAGTGTATCCATCGGAGAAGATCACCTCCAATTGAGGAACGGTCGCACTGAGAGGTGGAGAAAAGTAACTCTTCTTGACCTTATCAACAGCCGATGTCAAGGTCGTGTCTGCCTCAACCAGAGAGCGAAGCTTGGTAGCAGTATCGTTTGACACGGTTGTCCAAGGAAAGTAGGCATAGCCACTAGCTGTGTAGTCGTAGAGCGACCTTTGATCCGCGTTGTAAAGAGCCAATTCGGCAGCAGCCCGGGTCGTATTCCTGAGTGCATCGAATGAGGGATACTCAGGCTTGAGTTGGTACGAGGCTTGGATACGAATGTGATCCTGGAAGTTTTCGCCCACAGAAGGCAGGTCCTTGACGACAGGAATCCCAAGCTGCTTCAGAAGAGTGGCATTACCGATACCGGAAAGTTCCAGAAGACCAGGAGTCTGAAAAGACCCAGCCGAGAGGATGACCTCTTTCCTTGCAGTAAGTTTCGTGCCGTTCTCAAGAGTAACACCGACAGCAGTATTGCCATTGAAGTTGATCTTTGATACGCGAGTGTCGACCTTCACCACAAGGTTCTTCTTAGTGAGCTTAAGATAATCCGGCGCGTAAGACCGGGTGTAGTCAGGGCTGACATTACTGGGCTGCGTAGATACGCCAATGTTGTTGCCATTGAGAGACTCGTTGTTTGTCTGTAACCCAAGGTTGTTAAGGGTAGGGTACCATGTCGATTGGTGTCGTGGGAAGATCCTGTTGATGACTGTACGAACGGGACCTGTGGTGCCGACGCCTTGGTCCCCATACGCTGGCGAAGGCTGGAATGTCTCGCATCTCAGCATCGCCGGGTACAAACTCTTCCAGTTCCATCCTTTATTTCCCAGTGTCTCCCAGGCATCTAATTCAGCGACAGTGGTACGATCCCATGTCATGAGATTGAGTGCTGAGCTGCCACCAAGCACCTTGCCACGATTTTGTGCGAAAACGCGACTGTTGGCTGCTGGTTGCGCAACCGTAGTCAGATTCCAGTCGTATTTCCCTCCGAGGGTCGATCCCTTTCGACCTGGGATTGAGATGCCAGGCTCCTGACGCCCATCCGGGCCGGCTTCAATGACCAGCACACTAAGGTTTGGAAGCCCGATGCTGATGCGAGAAGCGACCGCAAGGCCAGCTGTGCCACCGCCTACAACGATCTGCGAAATTAATTAGAACTCGCATGCCTGAACGTAGAGAAGCTTTGGCTGCGACGCCGAAACCTAGTGTGTGAGAACTTACAAAATCGTATGAATCATAATCTCGCTGCACGGCCGTAGCACTTGTTTGTGCTAGCAGGCTGGACGCGATGAAAGTTACAGTTAGGAACTTCATTGCGACGCTGGCTGAAACGAAGGGCAGGTACCATGCGGTCAGTAGACATGCAGTAGCGAGGGGAGGATGGAAGCCGGACGGTTGGCCACGTGATATGCATGTTGAATTACAATTTGCCCCTTAACGCGGACGAACCAGAAACGGTCTTTCCTTTGATTTGGTGAAATTCCAATACTGGGCGAGAGAGATGATGCGGAGTTTTTGCCTAAAATGTCAGCAACAATGAACGTGCACGACTCATGTCTTTACCCCAGCCCGCACGGCTCGGATCGTTCTCAACGCGCTCTCCTCCGGCAGTTCTTGAGCAGCGCACATACTTGGGTACTTGGTCAAGAATTGAGTTGGGTTGGGAGAGAAAGCTCCAAGCATTTCTAGAATGCAGTCCCTGAACGACCGACGATCAATTCGCAACGCTCGTGAGCGATAGCCGAAGCCCAACAACCTGGTGCAAGGCTGGAATATCGGAATACCGGGAGGAGTCGGTGTTATCGCGGAACGACCTACTTAAGTGCATTTCTAGCTTGGCCCTACTAGCGCTTCAAAGCACTGTTTCCCTGTCTCGCTACGCAGGACTTTTTGAGGCCGGCGTGGGGCGCCTCAGGACATGCTCATTCGGCGTTCGACGTGGGCTTTGTACACAGATAACGCGATACAGGGCAACCTTGGAAATGGCGCGCATGAACGCCTGGGACAAAGGTGTTAGGGAATTCTATGGGCACACGTGGGATGTGCTGGCATGGATCCTGCGTTTTACCCAGGTTTCTCCAAGGTCGGCCCGATCTCATCTGTCCGCAAGACAGGGTTCGACGACATTCTTTACAAGAACACGGCACATCCGCCTCGGCCTCGGCGGGAGTCTTTGCTGCATGCCCCGTGCAGAGTCGACTGCTGAAATGCCATAGTCACTGTCGATTTGTTTCCTTATATGTTCAGACCCCTATGAGGAGCCGATCTCACCACCTGATCCTGATCTACCTATACCTATGGTAACTTGAATATAGCTATTTTTAATGTCTGCTGTTAAACCGCCCAACCCTCTCCCTCCTGACGAGTCGCTGGGTGGGGTTTTGCTCGTTCTAACATGCATCTTGACATCGTTCACGATCATCACTACGGGCTTAAGATTGTGGGCACGCTGGAAACGCCATGCTCTAGGCTGGGTAAGTCGAGTATACACACGCGACCCTCGATGCCGCCCCTGACTTTGAACAGGATGACTATGCCATAACAGTGTGCTGCATACTAGCAACAATACGAACAAGCATACAGATTGAATCTGTCCAGCGTGGAAATGGTCGCCATCGGTGGTATCTGTCAGTGGAAGATTACGAATACGTCAACTTTTTGACCTGGATGACACAAATATTCCTCTTCACCAACATCGCATTACTCAAGTGCAGCATCTGCTTGTTGATCTTGCGTATCAAAGACGAGGTGGTTTTGCGACGATGCCTATACGCCATGATGGTTGGCTTGGTCTTGACCAATTTGGAACCCATTGTAGTGCTTCTTGCACAGTGCAGGCCGATTGAGAAGTCGTGGAAAATTATGCCAGAAGGCAGATGTTGGCCTACTAAGGTCAGAATCTACTCTATATACGTCCAAGTTGGTAAGTCTGGATAGTCTTTAGACAGAGATACGGTCATGATTCACTAACCTATTGCAGCATACTCTGTCATCACAGACTTCATATGCGCACTACTTCCTGTTGCCGTCCTGTGGAAAATCAAAATCGATCTCAAGACCAAAATTGGAGTTTGTGGCCTCATGTCATTGGGCCTCATTGCAACCGCGGTTGCGATTGTCCGAGCCTCATCGCTTGGCATCAAGACAGCGGATCTTTCCTACGACTATTGCCTGGCCGCTATCTGGGCCAACACAGAGTTACATCTTGGCATCATAGCCACCAACCTTGCTCTCAGCCGCATGATATGGGGCTTCTTCGTGGGCGGCAGAACCACTACATTGTCAAACACCAAGACGCCACGATATGGAACAGGTAGTCACCTCAGCAGGAACACCAAAAACGGCTACGTAAGGAGCGGCGATCGCAGCCCCTATCATACAAAGGATGGCATCGAAACGCGATCTAGTGAAGACAACTTGAGTCAGGCCAGTCAGATACCGCTGGATCCCATTATCAAAAGGACGACCAGCGTGCACATTTCGTACAATCGAGCGTCGACACAGAAAGGGCAAACTTCAGACGAGACCCTACCAACGTACCACTCAGAAGCAAGACATGATGGTATCAAGTACTAAGTTTCACGTAGCTATCTATAACAGTAATGCATTATGCCTAATGTTATCTATTTTTTCAGGGCACTTCAACAAGCAAGCTTCTCATCCATCGTTTGACATTTGACCTTTTGTATCCTGACTGACCAGCTCATCGATCTCCCTGAACAGCGCTGAAGTCGTCTTTCTTGCCGTGACGCCCTTGCTACCACTCTGTAGTATGGCAGCTCTACCTCTTTCGGCACTTCCGCCAACTCTAGCGGTCATGCCCCGATTTCCGCGTCCACTCGTCATGGTTGATGCTAGAGATGTGCGAGTTACTGGGCCTCTTGCTTGTGGAGGTACTCTTGGTGAGCCTGCAGCATCACGTCTTTGCAGAGGAGCTCGAGGTGATCCGCTTTGCCTTGCTATAGCATCACGCCTTAACGGTTGGGGTCTTGGGCTTTGACTGGATGTCTGAGATGAACTCCGCGATCTGGTTGGTCTTGCAGAAGGTATGACGCTTATTGTGTTTTGGCGGAGTGGACCACGATTGAGTTTATTATTGGCGCCGAAGACCGCTGGATCTCTGGAGTCGGTTAGAGCTCTTTGACGTGTAGGCGTCCTTGGTCTCTGAGCGGCTGCGTCTGACGGAGCAGGCTCCGGAATTGTTCGTGCTTCGGCATCACTTTGTGGCCCCTTAGTCTTCATTCTGGCCGGCGCTAGAGGAGCTGGGGTTGGCGAAACCGATTTTGGTATCCCTGCCACCGATCCAATACCGTCGCTAACATCTTGACCATCACCAGAGTATTGAGATGCCGAGTCTGTACTACTACTAGCCCTGGATGTGCGTCTAGTACTGTCTGACTGCAAATCGATCTTGGGTTTCTGTGCTGCCGCCATTGCCTCAAACATTTGAGCTTGGGCTAGTGCCCGGGTGCCGCTACTCCGCTTGAGTGGTGTGGTTCTTTTCTGGCTGACGGAGTCCGAAGCTGTATCGAGGGGTGAAGGCGAGCGACTTTGTGACAGCTTAGAAGGATGCGAAGGTTCCGCCCGTGGTGGAACCCTCACAGATTGGACCTGGGCATTCCCGGTTGTGTCGATAATCGACTGCGCAGTATCTACAATTTGTCTCGCTCTCATTAGTGACGGTGTTTGTGCTGACTTTGTGCCGGCTGAGGCATTGTCAGCTGGGGCAGCTGTGCCAGTGTCAACCGTGATAGTGTCCGACGAAGGAGGTCTACCGACGTCTGTGGATGTATAGGCCGGTGGTGGACTAAGTGGTCTTCCGAATACAGAACTCTCTAATACAGGTGGTGGGTTCTCGAATATCGACTTCGGTAGCCTGAATGGCTCTGGCTTGAGTGCTTCGGCTTGAGCTTGGGGTGACTCGTCGACCATACCAGGCTTTGACACTAGCGCCTCTGGTGCGAGTGGCTGATCCACGGGTGCTTCTTCCTGCGCGTCCACAGCTCTCTTCGTTGTTTGGTCGTGTTGTCTCGCTGTAGGTTCTTTTTGGAACCTCTTCTCCTTCCTACTCAGCTCGATCTCCAACACTCTAGTGCCAGACGGTATCTTTGATTGGAGCCCATCGTCGCTGACGTCAAAGTAAAGTGCCCAGATACCAGGCCCTTCCTCGACAGCACAAAAGCCTTCCCAGCCACCAAAAGTCAACCGGCGATCCTGACGGGTACAGTCGAAAGGTCCTGTGAGGTTGGGTTGCGCGTCGAGACGAACACCATACTTGACTTCATGTGTCTCCTTGTCGACGTATATCCAGTTCATTACAGGCGCAACATCCGTGATAGTTGTAACAAGTCCTTCATGTTTGCTGTCCGGGTATGGCAAATAATAGCCAGCATAGGGATGCCCCGAAGGCATGCCATCTTCTGTGCCAGTATCGATCCACAACTTTCCGTTCCTCAAAATAACGGGCCGGCCATTTATTTCTCGACTCCTGATTGAGGACTTGACGCATGTTGCTATGAGATTACAACGACGCGCGCGGTGCTCTTCTCGCTTTTCCTGCGATTGTGATTGTCGTATCGCTTCTTGTGAGCCCAGTAGGCCTGGGGCCGCGATGATTGCGATGAGCATAGATAGAGCCATAGTGCTTGCGTAATGCTCCAATACAGGTGTAGAGTGTGCGAGTCGATTCGAAAGGCAGTTAGATGTGCAGCGCAAATTGAAATCGCGATACAACAGCCACCAAGAATTCTTGTTCATGTCCTAGCCATGAGTGACGTAGATTTCATTCATTGCTTTGCAAAACAAGAGCTTTACGATACCGCAGTGCATCTTTGTGGTATACCATCGAGATGGAGAAATGTTAGATATTCGACATTGGTTGTTGGAAATGGCCCTAACAGAACGGGTTTGCTGCTTGGTCATTGCATATAGCCTTCTCACAAGGCGCGTTGCTGCTCGTTAGTGCAGGTTGTATTGCAAAGCTTCTTGATGGCGTGATGCTCATTCGAGTAGCATTGTGAGACAATGATTTGCAGGCCAAGGGCCCATGCGGTTTCACCTTCGCGTGGGCCGGCCCTTCGGCATAAGCGACTCTACCAAAGTGGAGCCAGGACCCAGGAATAACGGTGATCGTATAGTGTTGGCGTTTCTCTCGCAAGAGAGCGGTACGAGTATCGAATGATATATAGAAGTTCCAGACTCAAGAGTGCCACGACTGTGGTTTCGGACGAGCTTAGACGATAGGGCAACCACGTAGCATTTATTCGATAATTGCGAACTCGTTCATATTTAAGGCAACCTCAGGGCATCATTTGTAGACCAGAACAGTTGATCTGACTCTCATCATTACTACAACAGCAGCGCATCAAAACGTACTTTACCCACCATCCAAGATTTGACATCTCAACATTCCTTAATACCACGCTTCCATTCACAACATCACTGCAAACAACATGTCTACACTGTAAGTTGGTTCCCTATGATCAATCGTACTAGCTGATCCCGATTCCAGCGACTCTACCATGCGCCCAACAGGCTACGCCTCCGACGCCTCCAGCGATGGTCAAGCATCCGGGGGCCGCAAGATTTCCAGCAACGTTGGGCCAGTACCATCATCTGGGGGTCTCAACCGCCCAGCAGGAAACATCATAAAGGGTGCGGTCGACGATAAGGGCAACTTGAAGGATGCGGCGCTTCTTCTTGGTATCAAGTTGGACCTGGAGGCGGAGATTCATTTGACCGCACGGATTCGAGGAGATATCACAATTGGTCTATATTGAGCTACAATACCTGTCAGGCTATGGAATGCAAGAAACGAATACAGGAAGTGCCTGTGTAGAACCTATCGGGCGAGTTGATCTTAGTGGATGGGTGGCAGGTTCGGGACTCGAGAACACTGTGTGCCTGCGGTAGTCACGATCATAGAACAGCCAGTCTGAACTAGTCAAGATAAGAGCAAATGCACAGCTTGTTCCACTCCAACACGACAATACTGTGCCACAAACTGTGAAACTTAACCCGAGATAACTGCGAATCATGCCTTATATGGTGCGCATACGGTTGCCCTACGGCTCGATGTGCTCGCCATCATGTTGGTCGAATCTCAGCTTACCATGAATCTATGATAATATCAGCCACTGAAGTATAAAGATGTATAGCAAGAACGTGGTGTCAATGGCGCTGATCAGACTCTTGCCCTGTCACAGGCAGTTATCACCATTGCCGTAGCTCGGTAGACCGTCGTGATAATTGAATGTTCATCTTGTAAGGCGAAAGAGAGATAGAGAGAGAGAGTGAACGTACCTACAACAATACATACGAAGATGTCCTTGTAAAATACTTACGAACCTGCGCCGCTGGTCAGCGAGCGCACTCCAAGAGCATCACTCGGAAGTGTGAAAGCAAGACCGCGAGTCAGTCGTGACAGTTGTCGTCGTCGCCGAAGCTTGGACATATGCTTGTCTTTTGTTGTGTCGATTCATCATTGCAGATTGGGCACGGGAAATGGGCTGGCATACCGTAGAACAGAGAAGCCTGTGCAAGAAAACTAACGCACAGTTAGCTGAGCCTCAAGAGGTGGCGTTAAGCTATAATAGCGGTGTTGTTGTGGATCAGAAAAGGCATGAATGGATATTTTAAATGAGGTCGTCACAGGGCGAGCCCGTCAGACTCGTCATCTGAAGTCGCATCATCTCCAGGGATGGGGAAGGACAGCAGTAGACTTACGTGTTTGTTCTGCTGCGAGGCAGCGTGGCGGGCCTACGGATGTCAGCGAGAATCTTCGTGCGTATTCTCCAAAACACCAGGAATCGCGCAGATATCAGTCGGCGAGGTTTCTGAGGCCTGCCATGGTAGGCATATCCGTCAAGAATTGTCGGAGCCCAGTGCCGTATCATCATTGTAGGCGCGGATGTGGGATGCGAGGGAGTCTTGAAGCGTACCGTGGCTGTCCGAGGACCACTTGTCACCAGCAGCGAGAAATCTGCACGTTGTACTTGATCAGCAAGGGTTTTCGAAGGTACAAGAGCGTGAAAAGTAGTGAGTGTGTGGATATCAGAAACAGCCATTGTTTGTCGCCATAGACCGAAGTCTCGGTCGGTAATTTCCAGCGTGCAGAAGCACAACAGGTCATCATTGGATACAGTAGAGAGGGAAGAGGGCATGTACGTACAGCTCTTTCATCGGGTGGTGTGGAGATGCGGTGCAACCCGTTGTAGGGAAGCGCAATATCGGTACGCATGCTAGGCGCACTAGCAATGGTCAAGCTCTGTGCAAAGTCAGTACGATGCTTTTCAAGCTACAGTAATTACGAGTAGTGAAGACCAGGTAGTCGCGTTCAGACTGACGTGCAAGCAGGAGTTTCATTCCCCGGAGGGTCAAAGACTCTAGTTTGAAATTGGCTTTGTATATCATCATGTAAGTGTGAGGTGTCGGGCAGGGTTTACCATACCTATGAGATGTGCAGGGAACCAGCAGAAGCTCGCATTCCGTACAATAGAAGGCGCATTGTGAGCTGTTGTCTACTGTTGATGTGGCGTAGAAAGTGCGCGCGGCCGTTGATGTAAGAAGAAGAGATGCTATGTGCAGTCGAGAAAAGTTGAGCTCATTCGGAGCTTGGACGGAAAATTTTAGCCCCGCGCTAGTGGCATTAGATAAGCAAACACGTGACCGGATCAACATCACCCATGCATAGTCCGACACCCGACTGGGCGTGTGTGCAAGCTATGGAAAGTGTACGCGTCGTCATACTAAGTGTATTGAAGTATTTATTCATGGAATTTGGCATGAGTTACTGCTTTGGACAGCCAGCACACCTGGTGTGCTTCATCGCGTGACTACCTACATTACTTACTTGGATGTCATCTCTTGTCTCACAACTTCATTAGTTATGGTGCAATAGGCGTCTTGATGCAGCCGTCCATTTTCCACTGATGCCGTTCGATACGCCACGGTTGAAGTACACGTCAGTTCGTTGGCTTGTGACGTAAACCTCATAATATCGTCAAGACTCGTAAAGCATCCAGGGCCGAATAGTTGTGATGGCTGCAAGGTGCAAGCCACTTAGACGGCGTGGGGACATGCAGCTCGACATTCTGGTTGCCAGTGTTGCTGGTTGGTGGATTACCTTCATCTTCTTTCTTCCCTGTGTCTAAGATGCGAAGATGCGCACGTTCAGATCCACGCAGCCCGTTGCAATGACACATCGTATACCAGCTTTGGCAGATTCTTCGTCTTTCTTTTTGCTTGCCCCATTTGCCGTTGTGCCATTAGGTGCGTCTCCATTAGTAGGGGCATCTTTGACCACGTTAGGGGCCCATCGCATGCAGCTGACAAAGTGGCTATGTGCATCCGTGACGACCTTGACACACCGACCCTCCTGTGTAAGATCCCAGCATCGTATCGTCTTGTCATCGCTGGCCGATAATAGATACTTGCCACCAGGATGGAATATCAGTGCGCGAACCCAGTTGTCGTGGCCTGCCAGGGTCTTTATCAGCGTACCCCGTCCATCCCATATTTTGATAGTTTTGTCTCTTGATCCTGTGGCAACGAACTCTGCAGAGCTACTGAGTGGCGGTGGTTTCTTCAGCCCAGCTAACGAAGCTAGGTTTGCGTAGGATACGGGAGGTGCTATTGTCACGCACTCAATGACATGTTCGTGACCGAGGAACGTGCATTTGGCTTCTCCAGAGCTTGCATCCCACAGACGTGCAGTCTGATCGTTTCCGGCTGACAACAACCATCGTCCATCGAAGCTTGGTGAAACGTCTCGCACCCAATCTGCATGTCCTCGGATTGTCTTTACACAATATCCAGTCGTCACGTCCCACACGCGCAGCGTCTTGTCTCGGGATGCAGACACGAGCAGGTTACCAGAAGAAGGCGATCCAGCTGCACCACTGGGTACAAATCGGATGGCCGAGACAGAATGGTCGTGCCCGGGTAGTGTGCGAATGTTCTTGTACTCGTCGGACGGGTCCCAAAGTTTGATGGTCAAATCACTCGAGCACGAGGCCAATAGTGTCCCTCCTCTTGGTCCGCCAAAGTCGACGTCCAAAACGCCTTTGGTATGCCCCTTGACCGTCCGTTCAAGCTCGCCCAGTTCCCAATCCCAGATTTTGATTGTGGTATCTTCGGACCCTGACGCGAGTGAGGAGAAGACAGGATGGAATGCGACGCAGGTAATGGGCGACCGGTGAGACTGGAGAGTGTGCCTTGCTGGCGCTCGAGGTAGCCAGCTGGAAGGATCCTGGTTCCTGCGGAGGAGCGATGTGGGCGTTGTGGAGTCAAGTTCGCTTTGTAGACTCTGGTTGCGCTGTTCAAGCTCGAGGACCTGCAGACATGAGCCACCTAGACGCGGATTCAGGGACGAAGGAGTTTACCTTCTTCTGTAGCCGAACAACGCTGGTCCACTTCTTCTCCAGCAATCCCTCGTACTTTTTCCGCGTGGCATCGTCGAAGGCGGCCGAAAAGTTGACCTCCTCCCGGAACGCAGCAGCAGTCTTGGGCGCGTTGATGACTCCCAGGTATGCGATTATGGCCTTGTGGCTGCCTCATGGTCAATACGGGGTGTGGTGGCAGGAATGCAGGTCTGTCTCACAGCTCTTCGGCCTGGCGGTCGGTCAATATGGCGCTCATGGCGGCGAGGGCTTGCTCATGCACGAGCACCGGCTGTCACCACCATACACAGCAGCCCGCGAAGGCGTTTTATTTTTGCGTGGTCTGCGCTACCGTGGACGTGTTGGTACTTTTAGCGGATTGCGGGGAGTTGGCGGTGTGCGCGCTGGCGAGGGCAGGCGGTTCACGGTTCACGGTTCACGGTCCACGGTTCAGCGGGGTACTGGCGCGGATGGCAGGTGAAGGACAGGCGGGCGAGACGGGGACGGCGGTGGTGGAGATGAAGCAGCAGGCGTGGGCGGGGGGGTTATGTGCGGCGGTATGGCATTTCCAGTGTCTGGCAGGGCTGCAGCGCCGATGATGCAGCGCACCTCTCGTCGCCCATCGCTGGTCGCTGCGGGAACGAGCCTGCCCAACACACCAAAATACTCAACTTTTGCGCTGCTGCCCATGCCCACGCCCACGCACTCCACCCCACCACACCACCGAGCCGCATACTCGCCGCACCACCGACGCGCCTCGAGCAGACTCACACGCGTAAACAAACAAACCACCACCACCACATGCACCTGCATTAACCGGTACGTCACCCACTCGCTCCTACCTCGTGCATCGCACTAGCGGCCAGACGGCGCATCCCATCTATCAATCTCTCTGTGTCGACTGCGCAGAGGCCGGTCACGCAACGTCACGGGAGCTTGCACAATCAACCCACCCTCGCCTAGCTGTGCGCGCCATCGCGACTGACCTTCTCTTGCAGCATTCTCTTCTTCTCCAATACCCCGCCGCCCGCCGCCCGCCAACGCATCCCACACCACAACACCACAACACCACAACATGGCAGACCAAGAGGAGGACTTCAGCGCCCTCCCGCTGCCCGATCGCTTCACCCACAAGAACTGGAAGGTGCGGAAAGAGGCGTACGAGGCAGCTGCAAAGGAGTTCAGCCTCGCCGCAAGCGAATCAGAGCCCATTGTCCGCCAATTCGTGAATGATGCAAGCATATGGAAGGGCGTGGTGGGCGACTCCAACGTTGCCGCACAGCAAGAAGGTCTCGGCGCACTGTGTGCCTTCCTCGAGATCTCGGGCCACTCAGGCTGCACACGGTAAGGGAATTGCCCGCACGCGCTTCCACACTTTGTGCGCTGATGCTGATACACATGTCCCAGAACTCGCCAGATAACCATTGCGACCATAGCCGAGAAAGGCCTGCCCTCGACGAGACCAGCTGCGAAACAAAAGGCGCTTGAAGCCCTCATGCTGTACATTGAGACTGACAAGGCCGACCCCGTCATCGAGGAACTCCTTCCCATTCTCTCACACAAGCAGCCCAAGGTCATCGCTGCGACCCTCGAAGCATTGACCCAGATATACCATGCCTACGGATGCAAAACCATCGAGCCCAAGCCCGTACTCAAGGCTTTGCCCAAGATGTACGGGCACGCGGACAAGAATGTGCGAGCTAGGGCCCAGGAACTCACTGTCGAGTTCTACCGCTGGCTGAAGGAAGCCATGAAGCCGCTCTTCTGGAACGACCTCAAGCCCGTACAGCAGACCGATCTGGACAAACTGTTCGAAAAGGTCAAGGACGAGCCACCCCCCAAGCAGGAGAGGCTTCTCCGATCGCAACAAGCCGCCAAGGAGGCTGCAGCCGCAGCACCAGGGGCCGATGAGGACTACGAAGAGGAAGAAGAGGAGGCTGCAATTGACCTCGAGCCCGAGTTCGAGGCAGTAGACGTCTTTCCCAACATACCCAAGGACTATAACGAGCGACTTGGATCATCCAAATGGAAAGACCGAAAAGAAGTTCTCGAGGAAGTTCAAAAGGCTCTCAATCACCCAAAGATTGCCGAGGGTCCATTCGACGATCTAATTCGCGGATTTGCAAAGAGCATGAAGGATGCCAATATTGCCGTCGTTTCCACTGCTGCGAATTGTGTCGAACTTCTCGCCACCGGCTTAAAGAAGAGTTTCGCAAGGTATCGGAAAGAGATCATGGGCCCAATGATGGAGCGGTTGAAGGAGAAGAAACAAGCCGTGACGGATGCCATTGGAGGTGCGCTTGACGCAGTCTTTGCCTCCACCAATTTTCAAGATTGCTTGGAAGAGATCCTGGAGTTCTTGAAACACAAAAACCCACAGGTCAAGCTCGAGTCTACTCGCTTCCTTATTCGAAGTCTGAAGGCTACACGTGAAGCGCCAACACCCGAGCAGGCCAAGGCAATGGCCGAAGCATCTACGAAGCTGCTGACTGAGTCGCAAGAAGTACAGCGTTCCGCAGGTGCGGAGGTGCTAGGCACGTTATGGAAGATTATGGGAGATCGCATCATGAATGCTCACCTTGACGGCCTGGATGAGATCGCAGACAAATCAAGGAATACTTCGATTCTGCAGA